CATATGCAAAAAGGGCTTTGTTTTACCAAGATTTAAAAGTTACAAAGCCGAGGATGCAAGTATTAGTAGCTTAAGAGCTCAAGAAGCACCACCACGGCCACCCACGCCAGCAAGAGCAGCCTTTTGTGCGTCAGAAAGATTGACTGTTGGGAGAGCCTTAACACCAGCAGCAGCTGGGGGTGAAAGGAATCCAATAGCGACAAGGTAGGCAAGATAGAGACCCATTAGTTCCTCGGTTACACCGCTGCCTGCGGATACATCAGCACCGGACCATTCAGCATCTGATTTGAGTGATATGGAGGCGTTGGTGTCATCAAGCTCGGGCGCTCTAGTATTTGAAGGTAGATCTGCAGTGACAAAATGATAGAGCGGCATCCTAAAGAAACTTTCGGTTAGTCAAACTTCATTCTCTTTTCAGAATAATAGTTGGTAGTCCTTACAATGCATGCTGAGAAACGGAATTTTGGGCATCGTTCACATATTGCTCTAGCGAACTAGACCATGGCACATAATCAACCTGTGGGACGTCGTAGCCGTATGTTTGCAATGTGCCGAGGAATTGGTTGAATCGGAGGCGAGGATGGCTGGTTACATGTGCAACGGAGAGCTTCGGTTTTGGAGGATGGAAGGCCGACGCAACAACAACCCGTGCTACGTGGTCCACAGGCACCATGTTAATGGTATTGTGAATGTTCGGCCGTGACGAAAGCTGAATACATCCCTTAATCATCCGAATTAAGAAATCGTCGGTATTCGTATCTATTAAAAATGGCAATCCATCAGTACGTAGGCTAATACCAGGAGTCGTCGAATATAGAACTTACTTCCCGTCGTGGAGTCTCCGGTTACATAACCAGGACGAACGATTGCTCCTTTTAAACCTCTCCTACCTGCCTCCCTGACAAGGAATTCTCCAGCCCATTTGCTTTGTCCATATCCAGTGCCAAGACCTTCTGTGCTTCCAGCGAGGTCGTCGGACTCGTTGATACCCAGTCCACCTTCGGCAATAATCCTTTCTGATTCTTGCACATAGTGGTCGGTATCTAGCACACTAGTAGAGCTGATGAAAGCATACTGTTTTGCTTTACCAGATGCACACAGACGTAGCGTGTCAATAGTACCCAGGACATTGGGGCCTCTCAGGTTGGAATAAGGGTAGACCCAGTGGACAAGTGCGCCGTTGTGGATGACCACGTCTACACGGTTTGCAAGGTCGTTGAAATGATCCGCGGAAAGGCCTAGGTTCTCATCACCTAAATTTCCCTGAACGCATTCTAGTTGATTGACCCACGAGTCTGACCAGAATCCATATGCCTTGCAGGTTGACTGGATTCGTTCAAGGGCCAGTTGAGATGTTTTGGCACGAACGAGGCAAACAACTTTGAGAGATGGGTTGGACCTTGAGAGAAGATCGCGAAGGATATACGCTCCAAGGAAACCAGTTGCCCCAGTTAGGAATACCGTTGAACCTTCCTTCAAAGCAGCCTCAGCTGACACGGCAAACTTAGCAGGGAGTTTAGAAACCAATTCCTTTGCATCCCTTGAGTACTCATTATTAACCGTCTTCTCTACTTGCGCTCCCTCTGTACTCTGGTTCTGACTGTCACCAGTCAAGGAGTGGCTATCTTGGATACGCGAAATCTCATTACAGAAACCCCTGAGTGTAGGGTTTCGGAAGATAGCACTCATGCTGATATCGACACTTCTCCATTTCTTCCTGAGTTCAAAGAACATCTGCTGTGCAAGAATACTGTGTCCACCGAGGTCAAAGAAGGAATCATTCGGCCCGATCATTCTCGCAGTGGTATTTGGAAGAAGTTTAGCCCAGATCTTTGCTACCTCTTGCTCGGTCTCAGAGAGTTCCTGCAAAACCGAGGATCGGCGGCGAGGAGCAGCAGCGCTGAGCTCAGCTGTGTCAGGGAATGGAAGAGCAGGCTTGTCTATTTTACCATTTGGATTTAGGGGCATCCTTCGTAGTGGGATTATGACGGTTGGAACTGCATATGATGCAAGCTTCCCACGAAGGTATTCCCTCGCATCGTCACGAAGAGGCCGGAACCGAGTCAGCATTCCAACCATTCCTTCGGCCGATGTATTGTCTTTTAACCCTTTGTGTTCTAACCATGAAGACCATTTTTCCATCTGAGGGACAATGTAACTGACAAGTGTTGGTTCCTCGAATTTATCACGCCTGACCAGTGTAACATTTTCTCGAACAAGGGGATGGCGAGATAGATGTGTGTCAATTTCTCCAAGCTCGATTCTGAAGCCTCGAATTTTCACCTGGTCGTCAGCTCTTCCTGAGCATTCAACGTCGCCCGTAGGAGTGTACCTGCCCAGATCACCACTGCGGTACATACGATCCCGTGGCCCAGCATAAAATTCTCTCCATGGCTCGGCAGAGGAAGATGCTTGTTCCTTTTCCTTATCCTTCCAGATCTGAGGATCGACGAACCAGTTTGGAATGAATTTCTTCTCATTCAATTCAGGAGAACCCAGGTAACCCTCAGCAAGGCCTCCAGCACGCACGTAAATCTCTCCAACTTCACCAATAGCACAGAGTTTGGTTCGGTCAAACCGGTTAACGACAAGCAATTGGACGTCTACCATCCCCTTTCCAGCAGGAATGACATCTTTCACGGTATCCAGATATCCCACCTGCTCTGCTGAAGAAGGGATTTCGAAGTAGCTGACAGCCCGTTGAGTCTCAGTGGTGCCGTACATGTTCACAATGTTGACATTTGGTGCCAGACTCTGAAGAGATCGGCAATCACGCTTGATCAAGATGTCTCCAACAAAGAATGCATGATGCAGCGATGGAAATTGAGCAGTAGCTCCACCAACAAGGATCTGACCCATAGCAGGAGTCAAGTGGGTGACAGTTGCCTTGTATTCACGCATCCATTCAGCTAGACGCTCGTTTTGGATATCTTCTCTTGAAGGAACCAGCAGTTGAGCGCCGAGAAACAAAGGTGTGAAGATATCACGCTGAACCGGGTCGTGCGCAATACCGCTGAGAAGGGTGAAACGGTCGTCAGGGGTGAGTTTGAAAGTCTTCGCCATCCATGGGAAGTAATACGCAAGAGAGAAGTGTCTCCCCTTGACACCCTTTGGGCGGCCCTCGGATCCAGAAGTAAAGGAAAGGGTAGGTGCAGAATCTGGTCCAACAACTACGCCCACTGGTGTTGACTTGAGCGGGATCTGCTTTTCCAAAACGGGAACACCTTTGATCAACCCTCCTTCAAGAGTCCCATCATCGTTCAGGACAAGAGCTGGAATTTCTGTCTTAAGCTCCAGGTTTTGGTCAATAAAGGCGCGAACAGAGTTGGCCAGCTCACCGGAGTCTAGAGTGGCCTTTTCAATGTTTATCAGAGCTCGAGGTCGTGCAACGTCAAGGTAGATAATTTGCCTCTCGGGGGGGTACGCTGGGTCAATGACAGAGAAAGTTCCACCAGCCTTCAAGATACCCATGACAGCAATAACAAGGTCAACCCCCCTATGCGCATACACCATGACAACGTCGCCTCTTTCCACCCCAGACTGAACGAGATGGTGTCCAAGAATGTTCGAAGCTTCATGAATCTGTCGATATGTGAACTGTCTGTGTGGGTTATAGCGAGACTTGGTCTCGATTACACAGAGCTTCTCTGGATGCGCCTCCGCATTGCGGGAAAATATATCGTGGATTGCTCCACGGAAGTCAGACCAGTGCAGATCAATCGTTGGGTCTGGCAGCAGCGCCTTCTGCGACTCAGTGAGGAATTCAATTCTTCCAATGGTTTCTTCAGGGTTAATTGACGCATTGTAGACGAGACGAACGATCTGTGCTAATATCGTAGCTATCCTGACACTGGAAAAGAGACGCTGGTTGTAATAGCCACCGACTTCATAGTCAGACGATGCAATATTTAGGAGCAGATCGGTTGTTTCAAAGGTATTTGCTGGGTAATCCTGGGATGCAGCAGGGGCATCGTACGCAGCGAAGCGGAAGAGTACTGGCTCCTGCTCGAGCTTGGAGGTGTTTTGGATATGGGCTCGCAGACTTCTAAGTGGAACTATGTCTGAGGCACTCTCATCGTATATCTTGGTAACCCTGTCGAGCAATTGGGAGAACGTTTCGTTGTGGTTGATAGGTATCCGTAATACGAACGGCCGGCCATCGTTTTCGGAGCTTGTTCCCAGGGCGATATCCTCATCCCCGGTCAACCTGCTAACTATGACGACGAGAGCAGTGAGAAAGACGAGGAATGTCGACTCCTTAGATTTACACAGCTTCTTCACAGCTGCTTGTTCATTTGGCGAGAGCTTCAGCGACTCAAATGCTTCAATTGCTCGCTTGGTTGACCCCGCCGACGTGGATTCGGGATAGTCTCGCGTGAGCGGTGAGATCGTGAGGTTCTTCAGTCTTTGAGCCCATCTCTCAAGGCGCTCTTGCAAAGCACCGCTCTCAATTCCCATGGTAAATACCCTTCAGCTCATCTACCTGCTGCCCGAGCCTCCTCGTATCTCACTGTGTAAGCTGTGCAGGTCGAAGTCGAAGTTGAGGTTGAAGTTCTACTTATTTTTTTTTGCCTTATCTAGAAATGACTCAACCCACCACCGCGGTACCGGCGCTGACTAAGTCAAATATACGAACCAATCATCTGCCGGCCACCGGAATATGGATCAACTAAACGCCGGTATAGTTATTTATCACATGACCATGAGGATTGGTAATACGGATACCGGCGAGTGGCGATGACCGCGTTTCCCCGCACGTCCAAGCCCCGCAGCGCTTAGACGCCGAGGAGAGACGACAGATAAGCTTAAGATAACCGCGCGAAGCGGAGGAAGAAAAAGATACTTAGGGACGAGGAACGCCGCCGCTCCATGGTTCCATCACAAGCAGCCATCTCTTTTTCTTTGCTGCCAGGGCAGCCCTGAAAAAAAGAAGTTTTATCATATTTTTATTTATCATTACCCTAGCACATTCCTTTGGTTACTTATTCCTACATTTCGTCATGGCTCCTGCTATTGTAGAGGAGCCACAGCCGCCCGCATCGAAAGCTTCCTTAGCTGCGGTGACAGAGAAGTACGATGATACACTCCGATTTTACTTAAACGGCACGAAGGTTACTCTGGACTCGGTAGACCCAGAAGCAACGCTGTTAGAATACCTTCGAGGGATTGGACTTACTGGCACAAAGCTGGGGTGTGCAGAGGGCGGTTGTGGTGCCTGCACCGTGGTATGTCATGCCACCCTATCCATCAAGAAGAGCAGTGCTAATTACCTGCCAACATTTATTAGGTTGTTTCGTACCGCAATCCGACCACCAAGAAGATATACCATGCTTCAGTGAATGCATGTTTGGCACCGTTGGTTAGTGTCGATGGAAAACATGTTATCACCGTGGAAGGGATAGGGAGTTCGAAAAATCCTCATCCTGTCCAACAACGGATAGCAGTTGGAAATGGGAGTCAATGTGGCTTCTGTACCCCAGGAATAGTCATGGTGGGTGCAAGGCTAAGACTATATATGGCAAAAGCTTGAGAAGCTAACGTTTATCTCCAGAGCTTATATGCCTTACTAAGAAACGACCCTACCCCTTCGGAGCTTGCGATTGAAGAAGCATTCGATGGCAATCTTTGCCGATGTACTGGATACCGGTCAATTCTCGACTCTGCGCAGTCCTTCTCCACCCCATCATGTGCCAAAGCACGAGCAAACGGAGGCTCGGGGTGCTGTAAGGAGAACGGTGGAAGCTGCAATGGTGGTGCAAAGAATGGCGATTGCGACGGAATAACTCCAAAGGCTATTACACAGTCATTCAATACTCCCGAGTTCATCCCCTACAATCCAGAAACGGAACTCATCTTCCCGCCCCAACTACACAGACATGAGCTGAAACCACTAAGTTTCGGGAATAAAAGGAAACGATGGTATAGACCCGTAACCTTGCACCAGCTCCTGGAGATCAAGGATGCGTATCCAGAGGCAAAAGTGATAGGAGGGAGCTCCGAGACACAAATTGAAATCAAGTTCAAAGCCAGGCAATACACACACTCAGTATATGTTGGTGACATTCCAGAGTTGAAACAGTATACCTTCACTGACGACTACCTTGACCTGGGGGCCAATGTTTCACTCACAGATCTAGAAGAGATCTGTGAGGAGGCTCTCCAGCGGTATGGGCCTACCAAAGCACAACCATTCATTGCTATTAAAAAGCAGATACGGTAATTTGCTGGACGACAGATTCGGAATGTGGCATCGCCGGCTGGTAACATAGCCACAGCATCGCCGATTTCTGACCTCAACCCGGTATTTGTCGCAACAGGCACGATACTCTTTGCCAAGTCACTGAAGGAAGAGGTTCAAATACCGATGGACCAGTTTTTCAAAGGTTACCGAACGACGGCACTTCCTGCCAACGCTGTGGTTGCAAAGCTACGTATCCCTATTTCCCGGGTGAATGGTGAGTATCTACGAGCGTACAAGCAGGCAAAGAGGAAAGATGACGATATTGCTATTGTCAACGCTGCCTTGCGTGTATCACTTTCTGATTCAAACGTCGTTATGAGTGCAAATTTGGTATATGGAGGTATGGCACCAACTACCATACCTGCAAAGAAAGCAGAAGAGTTTATCGTTGGAAAAAATTGGACAGATCCTGCGACAGTTGAAGGTGTAATGGATGCTCTCGGTCAAGATTTTGATCTTCCATCATCGGTGCCAGGAGGCATGCCTACTTATCGGAAAACTTTAGCTTTTGGTTTCTTTTACAGGTTCTACCATGACGTTCTTTCATCTATCCAAGGTGTCCAGGTTCATTGTGAAGAAAATGCTGTCCCAGAGATTGAACGTGGATTATCTTCCGGTGTTAAAGATCACGAAGCAACGGCCGCTTATACCCAGAAGATTGTTGGAAAAGCAACGCCAACTGTTTCTGCACTACTGCAGACCACTGGAGAAGCTCAGTATACTGATGATATCCCGGTACAGAAGAACGAATTATTTGGATGTCTTGTTCTTTCAACTAAAGCTCGAGCTAAGATCTTAAGCATTGACTTCACACCTGCATTAGATATCCCTGGTGTGGTGGACTACGTGAGCGCCAAAGATCTCCTCAACCCAGAGTCAAATTGGTGGGGGGCGCCAGTCTCCGATGAAGTATATTTTGCAGTCAATGAAGTCATCACTGACGGTCAGCCCCTTGGCATGATCGTTGCTACGTCTGCTAGATTGGCTGAGGCTGGATCTAGAGCGGTGAAAGTTGAATATGAAGTTCTTCCTGCCATCCTAACTATTGAACAGGCCATCGAACGCAACTCATTTTTCAAACATATTACGCCAGCTATCAAGAAAGGAGATGTCGAAGCAGCCTTTGCTTCTTCAGACTACGTCTACAGTGGCACCACTAGAATTGGAGGCCAGGAGCATTTCTATCTTGAAACCCATGCTTGTGTGGTTGTACCGAAGCCAGAAGATGATGAGATTGAGGTGTTCAGTAGCACACAAAACCCTGCTGAAGTGTAAGCCAATTAGCACCTTCAACATTTAATAATTCTCCATAATTCTCTAACCATTAATTTTACAGTCAAGCATTTGTTGCCAAAGTCACCGGAGTTGCCGAAAATAAAGTTGTTTGTCGAGTTAAACGACTAGGTGGAGGATTTGGCGGAAAGGAATCCAGATCCGTGCAGATTGCTAGTATCTGTGCTCTTGCTGCGAAGAAGACTAAGAAACCTGTCCGCTGCATGCTTAACCGCGACGAAGATATTGCTACCACCGGGCAACGCCATCCATTCTTGTGCCACTGGAAAGTTGGTGTGAACAAGGATGGTAAACTCCAAGCACTTGATGCGGACGTCTACGCCAACGGTGGCCATTCACAGGACCTTTCACTTGGTGTTGTTCAACGGGCCCTTTCCCATATTGATGGAGTTTATAAAATACCCAACGTTCACGTCCGTGGATACCTTTGTCGTACAAACACCGTTTCAAACACCGCCTTCAGAGGCTTTGGAGGGCCTCAGGGTATGTTCTTTGCTGAAAGTTTTGTCTCGGAGATTGCAGATCATCTGAAGATACCCGTGGAGAAGCTGAGGGAGATCAATATGTACAAGGACCACGAGGAAACTCATTTCAATCAGGCACTTACTGATTGGCATGTACCGCTGATGTACAAGCAGGTCCTCGAGGAATCAAACTACTATGCTCGTCAAAAGGCTGTGGAGGAGTATAATAGAACTCACAAATGGTCAAAGAGGGGAATTGCCATAATACCTACCAAATTTGGTTTATCGTTCACGGCCCTGTTCCTGAATCAAGCCGGTGCATTGGTACATATATACCGTGACGGTAGCATCCTTTTGGCTCACGGTGGTACTGAAATGGGTCAGGGGTTGCATACTAAGATGGTCATGATTGCTGCCGAGGCCCTCAAGGTCCCTCAATCTAGTGTCTTTATCTCCGAAACAGCCACTAACACTGTGGCTAATACATCTCCCACTGCTGCTTCAGCAAGCTCCGATCTTAATGGCTATGCAATTTTCAATGCATGTGAACAACTCAATCAACGTCTACGTCCATATCGAGAAGCGAACCCCAACGCTACTATGAAGGAGCTGGCAACGGCAGCATACTTTGACCGTGTGAATCTTTCAGCGCAGGGATTTTACAAAACTCCTGAGATTGGGTATAAATGGGGTGAGAACACAGGAAAGATGCTCTATTACTTCACGCAGGGTGTTACTGCTGCAGAAGTCGAAATAGATACGTTGACGGGAGATTGGACCCCCTTACGTGCTGACATTAAAATGGATGTCGGTCAAAGTATTAATCCCTCGATTGACTATGGCCAGATATAAGGTGCATTTATTCAGGGGCAAGGCCTATTCACGACTGAGGAAAGCCTCTGGCATCGTGCATCTGGACAAATTTTCACTCGAGGACCCGGGACGTATAAGATTCCAGGATTCAGGGATATACCTCAGGTATTCAACGTCAGCCTTCTAAAAGATGTGGAGTGGAAAGACCTGCGAACAATTCAACGATCAAGGGGAGTTGGCGAACCGCCTCTGTTCATGGGAAGTGCCGTTTTCTTTGCTATTCGAGATGCGCTGAAGGCTGCTCGAAAGGAGTGGAATTCAGAAGAAGTATTGCGCTTGGATAGTCCGGCAACTCCGGAGAGGATTAGGATATCTTGTTGTGACCCTCTTGTTGAAAAAGGGAGAGTGGAAGATAAGGGTGATGGATTCTTTGTTTCTATTTAAAGCCATATGTATATATTTTGCACATTTAGATTGAACGAATGAATGACGTAAATATCATTTTACTAAAGCAGTCATGGGTATATTCTGCCGTATCCTTTCTCTGCCTTCGAAGGCTCTAGGTCTAGCTATTTAATCGACATATAGATGTCCACCCACTTGCGCCTAACTCCAGACGAAATCATATCACAATGCTCAATGCTCCGATAAAAAAGAAAAATTAACAAAGGAAATAGCTAGCTATGCAGGTGGTTTATGTTTAACCATGCTTCACATCTGTCCCATACTCGACTTGACCGTGGCTGCTCGTTCTCATGTCTTTTTGTAAAGCCATCTCATAGTCTCTCTGTCCCGCATACCCAAGCTTTTGAGCCTGGTAATCATCTTCATTGCTGGGGGCTGTTGGATATAGAGATCCAGGGGGGTTAGGTGTAGCGCTGTATTTGGGAGCTGCGCCGAGGGCCATACCAGTTCCGATCGCAGGACTATTTAGCGGAACATCGTGGAAGTTATTCAGTTCAATGTTTGGAACGGCACGAGTACCAACAGCAGGAGGATGATAGGCGGCGTCAATTCCGCCGTCACCACGTACTCTATCTCGGCGCCAGGCAAGGGTAAGAACCCGGATGAAGGCAATCAACAAGAGCAAGAACCAAAGGGAGATGAGGGCAGCGGATATGAGTGCTTCTGTTTTGATTCCCGATTCAACTGCCTCAGTTACACGGATGACAACGGAGCTGATTTTGTCCGCTGTCTTGTCTCCTGGATTGGCAAGGAAACTATCCGGGTTCGTAGCGTTATCCTTGGATATGCTTTGGATAGCACCCAGAGAGAACATGTCCTCGCGGACATGAGGGAAGTCGACATGGGCATGGTCAGAGACCCATGTAAGAGCCTTTTGGATACCTTCGATCTTGAGCCCGATAAGGCAGTGGAGAACGTCTTGGATTGGGTCGTGGAGGATAGTGCCGCCAAAGGCCTTATCAAGCACTTCGCTCGTCTTCTCAACAAAGGCATTCAAAGTGTCGTTTACAGGGCCAGTGGTCTGGTTGACCCATCCCAGGACCTTTTGATTGATGTCATTGTTTGTGTGGTCGATAACTCCGTTGGTGCCGATTGCCCATTGTTTGGAAGCATTGTTGAGAGAGTGAACCACTTTGTCTGCAAACTGGCTTACTTGGCCCGTAAGAGCAGGAACTTCCTTCTTAACGGCTTGGAGGAGGATATATTGGCAAAGACAGGCAAAGAGACCAGCTATTCCAAGAGAGAGGAGAAAAAGAGCGGTAGGAGAAGTTACGTAGGCAACCATCCATCTGACGAGAACTTGTTTGCGACCAGATCGGAACCAACTGGATATCTTCAGCCCACCAGCAGAGGTGTAAGGCCGAGAGATGATGTAAACGACATCCATCGGATCGTGAGCATCTTTCCGTACTAGAAGGGAACGTTCCTTCATGCGACGATATCGGCGAACCTCTCCATAAGCCATGGGGATACAGGCTGCAATTGCGGCTACAACAAGAACGCCAATGAATATTTTTTGCGCAGTGCTGATGACAACTCTTAATCCGTCAAAAAAGTTGCTAATGCCATCATCTTTAGTGCAAAAATCAAGAACCTCCCTCTCGGGAACCGGGAAAAGGGAGCGATCGAAATGGTAGTCGACAACAGTTTCATTGATAAGTTTCTTCACAAGTTGGAAAGGTTTGCGAATGACGGTATCGGCCAGCTCTTGGACCTCGTCGAAGGTGGGAATTGAGGAGTTAATCTTGTCTAGTCCGTCATTAATAGACGATGGCAACTTCAGGTCGTTAAGCTTGTTAACCTCGCCAGAAATGTCTAGCGAAGGAATCTTGTTGTCGTCTCCGAAAATGCTTGTGACTGTGTTGATTCCCTTGATAAAGTCGTTCACTTCTTTTTGGAATCCATCGACACCTTTGGTAATCCCAGATCCAATATCGTGGAGAGTCTTGTTTAGAAACTCAGTTGTATCCTCGATGATCTTCAAGGCAACGTGTAAACTGCCACGGACGACAAGGGTGATAAGGCAAAGATATGTGCTGGTTAAGACATGAATGACAAAGAGAACAATCTCTTCCACGCCCGTGACGACTAGAGATAGCATCGACATCAGTCCGTTAACTGCCTTTTCCACTCCAGAGGCAGTGAGTTCGTTGACACCCATGGACATGTAATGAGGCATCGAAGCCATGGCGCTGCCCATAGATTCAACACTCGTGCACGCTGACAGTGCTTCCCGCTCGGCAGAGGCCATGTTGCGATCCAGTGAACCAACCGCAATGAGTAGTCTAACGAGCACAAGTAGTATGAGAATAGTCCATTTATTGATCCAGACTTGTGAGAGTCGAGCTCTAAGTCCTAGGTATGGCGTTATAGCGTCGGGAGGAGCAGCACCGCGAGCTCCATCCGCTGAAGATGGAGCATCATGAGCGCCATATGGAGGAAGGGAAGGGGTCCCTGCTCGGGGAATAAACCGTGAGAACTGCATGATATCGACTGTGAAGGTTGTAGTTTGAAGGTAGTAAAGCGACCAGCGCAGGTTCAAGTACGTAGGCCAACAAGTTTGAAATCTGCCTCCCGGGTCAAGAGAGAGAGAGAGAGAGAGAATTCGTTGCAAAATGGAGGAAGACGTAAGGAGAAAGAATATGAAGTGCCTTAGGGCTTAAGGGGACCCGAAAAATAAAGGAAACGGAAAGACTCAGAAACAGAAGGCTATTGTCAATCAACACAAGCCTGTATTAATGAATAGTTCCAATGAACTGTAGTAAAAGGATACAAATAAAGAGGGAGGGGGTATCTTCACTGTATATGCAAGAAATAAATAAACAATAGGAACAATAAGAAAAAAAAAATAGATCCGTCACGCAATTCACATCAAGTGAACACGCATGAAATATATGAATAGAGAGGGAGGAAAACTAGAAGAGCCAGATATTTAGCAATACCTGGGCCTGATAGCATTTATTATTGTTCATGGCATGACAAGCTCCCTAGAGACTAGGACAAAGTCAATGCCATCTTCCAGCTGTCATCGCAAGCCAAGCGGGAGCTATGATTCACTTCGCGCCCAAGTCCACCTCGTCCGGCCGCGCAACAGCCCACTGCCCGCAGCCAGTTCCCATGGCACTCCACGGAATGGCTTGTCAGGCCACAAACTCGTCTCCATGACGGCGCGAGCAGCAACTTTGATGCTTTGAAGTCGAAGAAAACTTTCGCTGGAAACCCAAAAATAGACAAGAGGTTTTTAGGTTTATCACGTGAATGTTTGACTTGGCGAGAAGTTAGCTAGCTTGAGACACCTGATTGGTCGGAAGCCCGGCGGCAAGAGAAACGAGCTGATAGAAACATCAACAAACAGGAAGACGCAGGACGACGGGCGCTAACTGGGACACGATACGACAGGGTGCGAGATGCCTGAAGAAATGGAGTCCCTGCAGTGACTGGACAGGGCTTTTCCTTACCAGTGGGGATAGTTTCAACAAGATGGGCAGCTCTGAGCAAAGCATTTGGGCCTGAGCTGTTAGGGATGAAACAACCACGCCGAGGATATCCATTTGGTCAACTCCCTCAGCGGTTATCTATCGACTATCAAGGCCCTAGTGAAGTTCCTAAACAAAGGGATTAGTGGATTATCCATGCTTGACCTCTTGATGACGTTTGCCCTGTTCTTGGGCGGCTGACACACGGAGCTCGCAGAGTCCCAAGGTCACTAAGTGCATGAAGCGTGCCGTAGAAATTTAGGGATCAACTGCCCTCATTTTAAATGTTCTACTGATGTCGATGGAGTTGATCCCTAGAACTCTGTTCGACTATCCATATAACCAATTTACAGGCGAGACTTTACACCCACCCTTATTTGCTCTAATTCGATCATGCAAACGCAGAGTCAGGCAAAAACAAGGAGTAGTAGTTTCAGTTAAGTACACATCTTGACTGTTCAAGAAGTTTTTGAAAGCTTTGCATATATCAAAGAGCGACTAAGTGGGTTTTCTGAAATCATGGGTTTAGAGATAGAGAAAGGGGGTAGTAAGAGTAGCATAAATTGCAAGACCAAAGCAGTTAATCCATATCGGTATATGTTGCTGAAGTCCTCTTTTCATCCAGCATTCTCTTTGCCATTGCTAGCTTCGACATCTTCACCTCCAGCCCTCGATTTCACAGAGTGGGCAAGCCAGCCACACCTTTGCTTTAGATCAGCCCAAATGAGGATATCTTCTCCTTCAGAGACTTCCTCTACCTTGTCCAGGTAGCGAAGGTCAACATCGCAATACTGCACTATATCCCCCTCTTTTAGCTTAGGGTGTATGTCATCAGTGAGCTCCGCCCGCGTGGCTTCCTTCAATTCTGGTGGTGTTGAAAGTCCGAGAATCTCCTGTAACTTTTCTGGGGATGTGAAGGGCCCTGCGTTAGATATGATAATGGAATAGGTGCCATAAGTGTATAGAATGGCTCCTGTGCGGCATGCTTCGCGAAAATCTTCCCACTGTCGGTTGTCCGACTTCAAAGAGTATGCTAGCCACGCACCTGCTGGACCATCTCGAAACCATACCAGCTGGGTTACACCATAAGTCGCGGCTTTTACAGCCTGCAAGTTTCCAAGAGTACAGTACTGGACTTGATCTTCCTCCTTGGGCTCCGCTGGCGGCTCTTCAACAAAAGCTTTCAGCTTCACAGTTGTATAAACTTCCGGTAGTGATGGACGACCAGCAATCTCCTGTAACTTTTCTGGCGATGTAATTGGGCCTGACTTAGTTATGAGGACAAGGCATGCATAGTGTTTCACGGTTCCTTTGCGGACATCCTCCCAATATGCCTGCCATCTTGCGATCTTCCAGCTCTCATCTCCCTTTCGTTTCTTGTCTTGCTCAAATTTCCATCTCACAAGCCGTTGATATTCCTCATCCTCCGAGTTTGTCATAGTGGTTGATTGGAGTAGTTGATTGGTAATGAAAGGATATTGGGTGGCTGAAGGGGGTAAAAGGTGTGTAGACAGCTTCTTGGACTGTAGTGTTTGTCTGAAGCAGTAACAAGAAATTGATGAGGTCGATGTGGTGTAAAAGTAGTATATCACGATCGCTGAAGCAAAGTAGTAGTCAAGTGGCATGAACGAGGAAACAGGCCCCAACCTTATATCCTGTTGCTGCGGGACATCACGCTCTTGGCGGCGGCTAACGAGTGACCAAACGAGCCAACCACAAGAGCCACAGCGAGCGGGGAAACGTTGGAGTCACGTGTAGAACTATTAATAACAATACAACAGCATTAATGATTGGCTAGTTAGCAAACAACAAAACTCGCTGTATCTTATAGCAGCTTCCGATTGGTCAGGAGAAGCCCATTCACTTGCTTAATGAAGCAGTTAAAATTTAGCTCTCAGCGCTTAGAAAGTTCAAGATAAGCCTGTTCGAACAGCCTCACACCTCTACAAACTACTCATCATCCTATATACCACGGGTATGGGCTCACTCCTTTAGTTGAACGGAATACTTGATAAATTGTGTTTATTCACAAAGCCTCAGTTAAAAATTAACTGCCTCTGTGCTTGACATTTCACGGTGCCATCTAGCAAGCCGCGTTGGGGGCTAGCTGGTTCCGAAGATATGGGCGCAGCGCTTAGGCAAGAGTTAGGAGGGATATCATTAACTCCCCCTTTCTGTTTCGCCTTTGGATATCCCCGTAATCACCAATGATTTTACTACCAGCTGGTAGTGGAGGCATCCAACATATATTCACTGGTATCCAGTGACGCCTTTTTTTCTCGCATACCCTGCTCAATCATGCACGTAGACGCTACCACGACTGACTACGCCGCGGTGTTGACGCTTCGATGGATCCTATTGTCTAAGATATCTTGGTCTGCCCAATGGGTTACGACCATTGATTGCACGAACGTACGGATGTGAAACGGCATCTTCAGGGAGTTCAATATTGCTATCTATAGCCTAATATCGAGATGAGAAACGGAACTGAACCAACCTAGCTACCCGAGATGCTCCTGCACTGAAAGCCAGAAGGTCACATTCTGCGATCAATGTCAGGAAAAAGAAATCCTTGAAATGGGATATATAAACCCGTCCAAGGTTCGTCGTAAAATGCTCGAACTCTTACTTCCAAACCATTCTCTCCAGTATATCCTATTGCACAGCCCTTTTAAACTCAGAGTATCGTTACTCTTTCCTTTCCAACCCTGACTTGTCATCAATACTTTCTCCAAACATGTCATCCAAATCCCACCCCTTCTCATTCGGCATTGAAATGGAGCTCTACCTCAAGCCGAAGTCTACATCCCTAAAACAAAGGCTGCAGAAACTTGGGTTCAAGCCGAATGACATGGACAAAACCAATCAACAACTCATTTTTCGCAAGGCCATGGCTGATGAATTTACCCAGAACAATATACTCACTAGAACGGAGAAAAGTAGTGTGTACGATAGGTGGACGATAGCCCACGAGGCAGCTCTTGACGACATTGGAGGTGGTTACTGTAAGCTTGCAATGCATCACCAACAGCGGTATATGTTACTGACAAATTGTTCCACGACGTAGGGCCATGCGAACTCATTTCCCCTGTCCTCTATACGCACGAAAACTGGCCGCTCGTGATCGATGCCCTCTTTGCAGTGTTGCTCAGAAGCTGCGATGTGCACCTTACCAAAGGCTGCGCAACGCATGTCCATGTCGCTCCTGCTGGCGGAAAGTATACACTTTCCCAGGTAAAAAACATCGTCAAGGGAACCATCTACTATGAATCACCGGTGATGCGGATTATGCATGAAGATCGCAAGGAAAACCCCTGGGCCCAACCTAACGCGAATATTATCCCCGGCTGCATGACGAAAATCAAAAACGTCTCTCAGGGAGGGTGGAGTCCCATTTTCGACGAGTTCAAAGATCACAAGTTCGTCGCTACAATTGTGACAGCAGTGTGCCCGGACAGGAATGTATCCTGGAACTTCCAGAACCTGACAGATAGCGGAACCATGGAGTTCCGTCGTCCTCGTGGAGTCGACAATCCCGACGCCGCGAAGCACTGGATTGCATTCACTGTGGGCTTTATGGCCAATGTGATCCGGGAGGAGAACTGGGACGCGATCAGTCATACTAAAACCCACCCATCTACGGACCGCCTTCGCGCGGTAGTTGTAAGAGGGGCCACATCTATTAACCTACCCGTTCATTCTTTCTTAGTCCCAGCATTGATGGCAGACAACAACAAGGCCGCAACGGTGCTTACTAAAGAAGAAAGAGCAATTATTCGCCAGAAGATGGCCAAAAAGAAGAACAAGCGCAGCTTGTTTGTGGAAAAGGTGCATTAAAATACTCTACTCACAAACTTGGTCAAGGAAAAAGGTTTTACTAATAATAAGTCTTTACAGATCATCAACTCGCGCCCCAATACTCCAAGCGGGAAGAAATAAACCTTACGGCATGGTATGACTGATCTTGGAAGTACTACACTTGCCCTTAGACCAAGAAGGCTTTTCTTACTTGGAAACACCTGAAGGAATCTTTAAGGCTTACATTCCCTAACCTTTTTCCCCGTCCACTTAATACATACGGGCCCAGAGGTCCTTAGATGTTAGTGGAGGACCCTGATCCTGTTTCCTATACATTACCTGTTCAGTTTTGTTATTTGCTTGTTTGTGATTTTTCTTATCCCTTCCTTCCCTTTACCTTTCATTTGTTTTTCAGTATCTTTCTATTTTCTCACTTCTGTTTTCTAACTGCATTTCATTTTGAGTTGATTGCTTGTGGCTACTACGTATGTGGGTGCTGGACTCCCATAAAAAGTAAAAAATAAAATAGTTTTGGTTAACTAGCTTTTATCCGTCCAAATAGCCGCACAGCTACTATGTTTGTATAGCATGAGAAGCCCAAGTAGAGGAAGTCGTAGTACTTTTCAAGCTTATCTGTACCTGTGCGAGTGCGAGGGGCAATACTAGATCAGGAAGACAGAGAATCATATTGTAGTAATTAGAGTAGGTAGCATTACAGGAAGAGGTATATGGCAATGTCATATCATGTACTGCGTACACATCATATAGATGGCAAAAGTAAACATGCTCAGAGCTATAACTAGTTGAACCAACCATTTAGCACGCTTTTTCATCAAGGGAGAAAACAATCAACAATTCCGTGACGGGTTTCAAATAAATTGAAATGGCGTAAATATAGGGCCTTCTTTCTTGCCTTTGAGAGAAACGGTAGGCTAAGAGTAGGCTAAGAGACTCCAGGAGGTCCTTGCTGGTCTGAGCCGGATTGAGGCGGCGCTCCTCCACCTTGGTACTGCGGGTATTGTTGTTGCTGTTGCTGTTGCTGCTGTTGCTGCTGAGCCAAAGCAGCATACCACATAGCCATGTAGTTCTCGTAGCCTCCATACATGGCGTACGGGTCTGTTCCGTCACCTACACCAGCCTGCATGCCCTGCTGTTGCTGTTGAGGTTGCTGCTGGGAGTTGGAGTCTTGAGAATATGGCTGCTGCTGCTGTTGGTATTGGGATTGCTGGCTGTAGGAATCATCACGTCTAGGTCCTTGCGAGCGGTTTTTCTAGTGCATTTTGTTAGTTGAAGTTGGATTGAATATTGGGTTTAGGCGGGCAAGGTATTGCATACCGCAGCTTCGACCTTGGCAAGTACCGCTTTCTTTGCAGCATCGATTGCAGTCTGGACGCCATAGAAAGTGACTTCTCTCTCAGGCTCTCGCGCAACAAGTGGCAATATGTTTATTTTACAGCCACTTAGGGTTTGTAGTTCTCTTATCGCTTCTCCTCCTATGGATATATGTCAGCTTTGCATGAATGTAATATAACAGTAGGAAACCGATGCATACCTTTACCAATAACCATGCCGACATATTCCTTAGGGATAAACATCTTATCGTTCAGTTTCTCACCTCCGCCACCATTCTCACCGCCCGAGCCTTGTCCTCTGGGTTCCCGCTGCCCTTGATTCCCGCTTGTTCTTGTGTCACTTTCTACAATGCCCAATATCAGTTCTTTGGCGCGCTGTATGGCTTGCTGGGATCCTGTCAAGGTAACCGGTCGTAGGCCATTGATGCTCTCTCCATCACGGGCAATATTGATGCGACATCCACTCCGCTCAGCAAGGTCTCTAACAGTCTCACCCGAGCGTCCGATGACAAGACCAACAGTCCGATCAGGAACCATAATCTTCGTGGTCTCAGAGCCATCCGCGTCAACAGGCCTTCCATCTTGACCAATTGGTCGACCGTCGTTTCGAGCCTGGTTATTTTCGCTCACGATACGGTCTATCTCCGCCTTGGCTTTGTCTCTTATTGACTTGGGACCAGATAATCTGCAGAGCCGAATGGTCTTGTTATGTTCTGCGCTGTCAAGGAACTGAACACGAGCACCTGTTTCGTTTTCGATCCGTCGAAGATTCTCTCCCTGACGTCCGATTATCAATCCAACGTGCTTGTTGTCTATTTCAATAGTCTCGTTGTTCTCGTCTGACACCGGCCCTCGGTTCCGTGGAGGAGGTGACCTATCACCACCAGCTCTGTAATGTCTGTTTGAAGGAGGCGAGTATGCGCCAGGTCTCGGGGAGGATGACCTTTCTCGCCCATATCCACGATCACCAGCGCCGCGCCTATCTGCACCTCGACGTTCGTCTCGATAGGGATTGTATCCGTCTCTAAACACATCTCGAGCAGTGGAATTACGCGGAGGTGTCCTGGACGGTGACCGCGAACGCCGATGAGACGATCGACCGGCGTCTCGAGTCTGTGCTGTACAAGGCTGTTAGCTATATCCTTTCAACTATATGAGGATAAGTTGACAAAGACTCACCTGGCGTAGGTTTATATGTGATGCCCTTCTCCGCAGCGATTCCTCGCGCCTTGGCAATCGCATCTGCTATACTTACTGAACCTGCATTGATAGAAGTTGCGCCGCCGATGTTCAAGCTGCCGGTGTTATCTGGCTGAGGTAGGGAGTATCCCCCAGTATTTGTAGAGGGAGGAGGAGCAGTTGATGGGGTAGCTCCGGTAGGGGAAGCATATTGCGCGCCAGCAGCAGGCCGAACGGCAGCTTAACGAAAAAGCGAAAAATTCGGACCCGGTTAGCAAGAATGATACAAAACGACGGCTCAGATTAAGCGCAATAAAGGAGAGAACCAAAGAAGGTGAAATAGACCGGGAAACAATGTACCTAGAGCTGCCAGTATCTGCGATATATTCTGTTGATCACCCATAGCTATTGCACTGCGATAGGCTGGAGCGTGGCGTTGGGAGATAGTTAAGGGTAGGAAGAGTTTTCCGTGTCAGACTTGTCGAGGACGGCCGACTTGGGCGTCACCGCGGGTAAAGTTGGTCTCAGGCCCCCTTAGGGTGAAGGCTGGAAGACTGAAGCTGGCGAGTTGCTGGGGCTTGTTCGTGGTTCTCATTGATTTTTTGCTGCCCTTCTGTGCTTCGCAGCGGCGGATGTTCTTTTTTGTTCTGCTTTTGCTCCGCGGCTGGCTCAAGCGCCAAGCTCGACTAAGTTAGCCGCGGCTGCAGTGAAGAGCAGGGACGGCGAGGAGCACTGGCGTGACGGGAGCAAGCAAACAGGATAGTTGGTGCTACGAAGTCGATGGTACGGTGAATCTAATGCTATGAGGGCTCTAGTGATATCCTACATGCGCAAAATAGGGACTGTGTATGCTGTAGCTACTGGATATACTTCTTGAGGCCGCGGAGCCGCTCCTTGGCCGTTTCCAGAACTTGGTCTGGCTTGCAGACAGCGAATCGGAGGTAGTCCTCGGCGATGTGGGCGTTGGCGTCAGTGTAGAACTCGGTGGGCGGGACGGCGGCGACGCCAACCTCCTTGATCAAGAACCAGGACAGTTTGAAATCGCGCGGCCGGCAGGCAACGTGAGGAGGGAACGGGTAGTCCTCTGGCATCTTGACGCTGGCCATGTTGGCCAGGACGAAGTAGCCACCCTCTGGATCGGAGTACTGTAATTGTATGTTAGCTTTGCTCGATGCTAATCGAGTATCAAACGCAGATACATACGGGAATTCCAAGCTCGTCAAATATCTCACAGAACCTCTCGACTTTACCACGCATCTCCTTTCGGCTTTCATCCCAAAATCCCATCTCATCGGCCTTTTCAAATCCAACGGCGGTTGCAAGCTGGAGAGGTGCAACACTGCTGTAGCAGATTCTGGTATGTGCGGCAGAGACATACTTGATAAGGTGCTCTTCACCAATGAGGTATCCAACTCGCCAGCCAGTGGCATAGAAGTTTTTACCTGCAGAGCCGACAGTGAGAGTTCGCTTGGACACCTCAGGGGAGAGTGTTGCCATGCGGGTGAAAGGAACGTAAAAGAGTCGATCATACACTTCATCAGAGAGGATGATGAGATTGTGCTTGACACAGAGATCGGCTACTTTCTCGAGTTCCTCGCGGGACATCACTTTGCCCACAGGGTTATGGCTGATATCGTTAGAATTTCCAAGTATTGCAGAAACAGAGCAACTAATTACTCACGGAGTATTGAGCACCTGTATGGCTGTTAGCAGAAGTAGCTACATTGTGGGCAGTAAAAACGTACAATCATCTTTGTCTTTTCGTTGATAGTCTTTTCCAGCTCGTCAAAATCAATAGTCCAGTTCGATGCAGAAGATGTCTTCTGAGCACCGTCCTTTGGAGGATGGAGTGGCACGTATCTGATTTTACCGCCTGGCATCTCAATGTTGCTTATATATCTATTAGATGAGTTAGCTTCAATGTATCGGTATGACTCCCTCAGGATGGACGTACTGATCAAAAAACGGTTCAAAGATGATCACTTCATCACCGGGTTCAATGAAGCCCATGAAAGCACTCAGCATTCCTAATTACAATGGTCAGTATGGATTGAAATACTAGTGATCAATTGGTAGGAATACCTTCATTGGCACCGCTAGTAACGACAATCTCGGTATTGGGATTGAGCTCCCTCCCAAAGAATGGGGAGTACGCATCGGCAATTGCCTTCTTGAGACGAGGGAGGCCCTAGATATCTCATTAGTTTTGTCGGTCATGCAGGAATTAACAAAAAGGAATGATCCCACCTTCGTGGGCGCATACTGGTTAGACTCCACGGTCTGCACCGCCTCCTTCGCGGCATCGATCACATACTGGGGAGGGTTATAACCACTAATGCATCAATAAGAAACTGCACAAGTACACCTACACCACGCACTCGGCGACATAAGACAATATACTTACAAGAACCCTTGCCCCATGTTCACGATTGGCTGAACCGGTGATGCAGCTGCGGCTTCATTGACAATTGACCTGTTGACGCAGTGTAAGTCCCAGAATATCAAACACTACTAGGCTAACTACGTCCGAAAGGAATAACCCACCAAACATCCTGTCTCTGACCGGCGACCCTCCTAGCCGGCTTGAAAGGCTCGTTGCTTGCGGCCGTTGAAGACATGGCGGCTTGATACTTTGGCGGGGCAGTCTTATACGGCAGAGGTCTGTTTAGTCCCGAACACACCGCCGGACGGTGAAGAGGTGTAATTCTTCTTAAAAATGCGCAACGAGCAAGCATGGGCAATGGCCGATACCGTCGTGGTAGCAGAGCATGCAACTAGGCCGGCAGCGTCCTCCCTCTTGCGTGTTGACGGTCGAAGAAGACGAAGTTGAGGCTCGTTGAGGGCGTGGAGCGTGCCAAGACCGCGGCTATTTCGGCAGTTGATATGCTTATATTGCGCCTTGTGCTATAGCTTTTAAATTAATGAAAGATAATATTTATTCTTCTTGACTGGAAAACAATAGTTACATCGTCATAGCAGCTCATCTTCAGGCATGTAGGTTCTGTCCTAAGATCCTGATTTCTGAGCCCACCAAGTAGGATATCTCTCTAACCACGGCTAGCTCGCGAGTATGCAACCACCTCTACTCCCTAAGAGAAGGCCAAATACTCTTGAAGACACCATGATATAACCGAGCGTGGACATGGTTGTGGAGGATAAGAAAACTGGGCCTACCCTGACTATCCAGTGGCTGCAAGCATTGAAAAATCCTCTTGCTGTGCTGCTGCTCCCATACCCTGCTTCAAATACTATCTCGAATTGTGCGGCCATGCATCTTCTCAGGGTGTTTCGGATCCACCAACTTGTCGGCTCGGAGATTTATTGCAGCAATTTGGTCATTGCACTTATCAACATTGGAGGTATATTCTTCGGCGTGGTTGTTCGAACCGCGGTGATAGTGAGCTTGAGAAAAAGCTATAAATATTGACCTCCAGGTCTCTTCACACCGTCGAGCATATATTAACTGGCCAGCCAGGTTCAAATACATAACTAGTTAACTAGTTAGGGCCTCTCAGGATTTATTTTTGTTTGACACTTCTCACCACAACCACCCAACCCACGCTGTCTTCTTCTCACTAGATGCGACCTGGCGTGTTCACACAAGGCAGTGACATCGAGATATCTTGAATATGGCGCCCACTTTATATCTTGGCCGGGCTTTGAAGAGCCGAACTGGCCTTTACACTATTACAAAACAGCTCCAGGACTGTGTTTGGCTTGCGACGTATTTCAGCGCCCTGCATATACTGTGTTAAAGCATTATCATATTATCATACTAACTGCTGCAGAAACGAGCATCACCAGAAAGTTATCGCAAAGAGCGTCCATCATTTTCGATTGCAGAATGAACGAGATGTTCTGCTTCGCTTCCAACACCGAACACCATCTATTCGCCCACTCATCGAAGCGCTTGAAGACTCCGATACTCCTCCTACACTCATATTAAAATATCTTGATGATGATGTTCTCAACGCCTCCGACAAACAAAGGCTTACTGCTCCAGAGGTAAAGTTTGCCGCGAAAAAGGTGCTAGGAGCACTTGCGGTCTTGCATGATGAGGGATTCATACACACTGGTGGGACGAGTCTGCCTCTATTCCCCTCTGCTAAGACTATATTAATATGAAGGAGTGCGCTATAGATGTTAAACCCAGCAACGTATTAGTGAACTATGGTCAAGGCGAATCTCTATTTACTGATGTTCAGTTGGCAGATTTTGGGAGCACTGTTCACGAGAACTCTATTCATGCCCAACGTGGTGACCCTATCGGCACTCCTATTTTCAGGAGCCCTGAAGCACAACTTGAAATGAAATGGGGTACTGCAACGGACATTTGGTCGTTTGGTGCAATGGCAAGTGTTTATCTGATATCGACGAGCTGAGATCGAAATATTAACCTCGACTCGACAGATTATCAGTCTCATATACGGTGAAGGCTTCCATATTTTCAAGCCAGATGTCCCTCCAGGTCATGATGAATACGATGTCAAAATCCTCCTGAAACACCATAGATTCTTTGGTCCGTTTCCAGAGTCATACGAAGAAATTGCGGATCAACAAAGATTGGGTGTTCTTACGTGGGTTATGCAAAACAGTCCTGCCGAGACCCTAAGACCATTCCATCTTACAACCAGCAAGGAAATTTGTCAAGACGATAAGGAATTCGTGCTAAAGATAATGCGGCTGGACCCTCGGGACAGGCCGTCGGCGCGACAGCTCTTGGAAGATCAGTGGCTTCATCAGTCTTAAATTCAGTTTCCATGAACGTTAAACTCGGTGACAGAATTTGTGGATTCAGCTAATTCAAAGCAGACAGCCGAAAAGGAAAATGGTGGAGATATACGTGAATTTTTCGAGTCAGTGGATGTTTATATACTTATATACCCCCTCCTACATTCTTTCCCCCTCCTCGAGGATGTGGTTGACGCCATATCTGTCTCACTGTCGCTGTCCGTCGATAACAGCCATCGAACGAAGGCCTGAAGTGGAGCATGCATGCTGCTGAATAGTTAAGCTAAGAAACAGCATCAATTCCACACGCAGCCAATCTTAGTCCCGACCGTGAAAGTATTAACTAGTAGAAGTAGAATAAAAAAAGAGGTAGCTAACTAGTTATAGAAGAAGTAAATCCAGGTCGGTAAATGTAAAGATTTACGAACATATTATTTTACTATATTAGCGGGATAGGGGGGTAATGAAAATTAATTTTGACCCGATGGTCCATTCAGTCCGCCGTAGTTAATCAGAGGGCTATAACGACTCCGTTATTAGTTAACTATGCTTTAAAACGAAAGCAAGCTTTTGCAACTTCAATTCACCAAAGACATTGGCAGCTCAACAGCGATGAGATGACGACGACTAGCACGCCTTGATAACCTCTGATTGCCGCTTTGGTAGAGAAGCCTCTGCCTCGACTCCGTACTAGTTATCTCGAACCAGTCACAAAATGGTCAATGGAAGACGCACTTGTTCCGGCGATTGGAGATCTAAAGTCACAAAAGTCACCAACTTTGCAGCAATAATAACTAACTAACTAACTAGTTAACTAGCCAAGAAGCTGATGGTCGATCAAAAGCCTAGGTTTCATCGATTTTCCAGAAATAAAAGCGTCGATTCAAAGGATACCGTCCAATATCTCAAGAAGAGTCCAGACCCGCAAAGAAAAGCTATTCAAAGCAGAGAACGGCCAAGCTCCAAGCCTCGTCTCGGAGCTCAAGGCCACCAAGGGGGCCGCTAGTATTTACAAAAGACTCAAGGACAACAGGCGATAGCTATGGGACCCAGCTGTCCAATCTGCTCTAAGCCCGTCAACGCAAGCAAAATCAACGAGCACATTGACTCAGGGTGTGAGGATTTTGTTGATTCCCCCCAGAGCAGCCAGAATTTAGCTGGAGATGGCGCGTCACAGTTTCAGGCCAGCCCATCCAGCTCCATACCCAGTTTCTTCCAACCAGCAAGCTCCAGGAAAGCGGCTGCGGTGCAAAAGCTGACGGAACGGCCCAACGGCGCAGCTCAGACACAGCCGTCCAAGGCCAGCACGGGCAAAAGACTCTTTTCTCAGGAGGAGCCTGGAACACCGACGCCTGGAGCTGGTTCTCTGAGGGTCCCCGTTTCGCCAGCACCCCTTCACGATAGTGGTAGTGATCATTCGGCCAAGAGAGTCAAATCATCAAATGCATTGCAAAAATCAGCACCGTTGGCAGAACGGATGCGGCCAAGAACACTTGATGAAATGTGTGGACAGGAGCTAGTTGGGGAAAATGGGGTGTTGCGTGGTCTTATCGAGAGAGACAGGGTTCCTAGTATGATCCTTTGGGGCAGTGCAGGAACGGGGAAAACTACGCTTGCAAGAGTGATTGCTTCCATGGTGGGGAGCAGATTCGTGGAGATCAACAGTACGAGTTCTGGAGTGGCTGAGTGCAAGAAGCTATTTGCAGAGGCAAAGAATGAGCTGAGCCTGACGGGGAGGAAGACGATCATATTCTGTGACGAGATTCACCGGTTTTCAAAATCTCAACAAGACGTATTTCTTGGGCCTGTCGAAAGCGGGCAAGTAACATTGATTGGAGCTACGACTGAAAACCCATCTTTCAAGGTCCAGAATGCATTGCTATCACGGTGTCGAACTTTTACTTTGGCTAAGCTTACGGAAGAGAATATCTGCGCCATACTCAATCGTGCATTGAGACTTGAGGGACCCAATTACTCGCCGTCTGCACTGGTTGACGATGAGTTGATTAAGTACCTTGCTGCTTTTGCTGATGGTGATGCTAGGACTGCCTTGAACCTCTTGGAGTTAGCAATGGACCTGTCACAGAGAGAAAACATGACAAAAGACGAGCTCAAGAAGTCCCTTACACGGACACTGGTTTATGACCGAGCAGGTGACCAGCACTACGATACCATATCTGCCTTTCACAAATCAATCCGTGGAAGTGACCCTGATGCATCTCTGTACTATCTAGCTAGGATGATTCAATCAGGTGAAGATCCGCTGTATATAGCTCGTCGCCTGATAGTGGTTG